GGACACTATGTGCAAAAACTGGACAATCCAGTGCAAAAATGGACATCTGGTCACACTAATTCTGAGTATGTTTTGAACTGTATATTTGACTTCGTAGTATATCTTCTTTAACCAGGTTACATTTTATCTATAAATTCATAGATAAATAATTTTTAATATTTTAATTTTAATCAAAGGGACATTCATTACGTACGGACGTGTATGAGATGAAAAATAGCTGTTGAGGTGTATATTGTGGGACGTGTGGTAGTCGTGACGGTTGACCGTATGTCTGGACGTGTGTCTGAAACGCACGGTACGACTCCCGGAGGCCTCCGTTGTCCGCAATATTCTCTCCCAAAGTGTTTTCGCCGTTAAGCTAATCATACGTTAAATAAAATTAAAATTATAAAGTATTTTGGTTAAAATGGGAACTATTTTTAAATATTAACCCTAACTAATTTATTATATAAAAATAAAACCATAATTACATAGTTATTAAATATTTATTATCAGCATGTAAGAAATATAATTTTATAATAAATGCTTCATGCATAAGCATTATGTTAAATAAAATATTATTTAAATATTATTACCATCATATCCACTTCCGGTACGTATACACTTGAGTATTGTTTGACAAAACATTTTGCTTTATCATCATAAATTGAGCTTGAATAATTTGTGAACCAATTGCGTCTATTTCCGTTTAAATCAAATAGATTGCCTAAACAAATTGTGTTATAAAAACTTATTATTTTAATTTTTTTTTATAAAACTAACCTTTGTAATCAAATCCATGGGTAAACTCATGTCCAACTATCCATCCAATAGCATCATAATTGAGAGCTACCGGGCCTTTGCTGTAGAAAACCGGTGGTTGCAATAAAGTTGCCGGTATTGCTAGATATATATATTATATTATAAATTATTATGACAAATATATTTTTTATGCTTAATATTTAAATAGACAGTATTAATTATAAACATTAATGTTTGTCAAAATTTTACTTGTTAGTAATTGATAAATATATGAATAAACTTTTTCGGGTTTAACATATGCAATTATAGTCAAAATTAATAGTAACTATTACTTGTTAAATACACACAAAAAAGTTTACTCATATATTTACCAATTACAAATAAGTAAAAGTTTGGCAAACACCGTATATTACAGAGATGTCCAAAAGTTTTTAAATCGTCAAAATAGTGTTTTATAATATTACCAAACTTATTTACTATTCAAAACACTAGTATTTACTGATTTACAAGTGACTATAAATTTCATTTTAAATGACTTAAACATAATATATTATATTAAACACAAAATAATATTCAAATCATTAATATACTAGTAAGAGTTTTTTTAAACATACATTAAAAATATTTGAGTAAATAAGTAATAGCCATAAATGATTAATAAACTAATATTCATGAGTTTGAATAAATGCTACTTTAATCCTCAATGTATTCTATAAACTTTAAAATACTAGTGTTGTATAGACTTTGCTTAAGTAGTAAAAAATAGTAAATGCATACATCACTAGTTGGTTTCTGGAAACCATATCTGTACGCCATTGGTATATTACATTCAATTGACGATCGTGATACGCGTTTGCTGTATCGGGTGAGCCGGGCCAACTAAATACATTAATTGAAAACATATAATTCATTAAATGAAAGTAAATGAATTTTTATTGTCTAATTTGCTTGATTACTTTTTAGTAGCTTCGACCGGTTTTCTAATTGATCTCATATTTCGAAAAATACTATTTGTTTTCAAATACACCAACGCTTCGAATGATTTCATTGGACTCACCGTTTGTTTCTATAATGATGTTTAGGAAATTAAAATTATCATGATAAATTATGCTCAAGTCACTGGACAAACCAAATGGTAATATTTATCCAGCTCATCATTGTTGAGCACCCAGTCAGGATAGCCAACATACTCTTTCATAGCATCCAATTTAAGTAAACTTTTAGTTTTAGTGATTTCGTCCAACCAGTCGTTCCCCGCAATTAACTCATAGTAAGCTTTCTTGACATCTTGTATATAAGTCATTGCCTATATTTGAACATGGTTACTTTTAATTTATAACTTACATAAAATTAGTGTCAAAGAATTGTTCTATGATTTTCTTTTATATTAACATACTGTATATATTCCGCTACGTGCATAAAACGACTATGTGAGAATTAGTGCAATAAAATTAAAATCATTTGAAGTTTAGTTTATGTTTCAAATGAAATACACATTTATTTAATTATAAATATAATAAAAGTTTAAATATAATTCTTAGAAAAACTTTGTATTTTAATTTTACATATACTTTATAAATATTATATCAAAGACAATTAAACAAACAAACAACTTTATTTATCGCATTTTAATTTTAAAATTATTCAATAATATTTGGGTTATTTAATGGGTATTTTACGACGATATTGTATTATATTATTACTTAATTTGTTTTTAAAACTTTATTAATAAAAATTAGTTAATATAATTGCAAATTTTAATTATAACACAACAATAGCTATTATTAATTAATATAATAAAAATACATTAATTTAGATTATGATATACTGTAATAAGGTAAATTTCACTTCAATCAATAATATAAAGTTGTTTTATCAATATTATAGTAGTATAATGTATGATAATTTCTATAACAATTGATGATTTATTTATGATATAATAAATACCAAATTAATAATTTTTTATATAATTCACAAAAATGTACTGTATTAACCTACGAGTGCCAATTAGTGTTTAAAATGCTAACTAGTGTTGAAACACTTTAACAAATTAATGCATGACTCACTACACTAGTTTTAATCTTTCATTATAAATAATGCTTTTTATATTATTAATTAAAAAATTAAAAACTAATGATGTGAGTCATACATTAATTAGTCAAAGTGTTTCAACACTAGTTAACACTTAAAGCATAGGTTGGCACTCGTAGGTATAAACCTTCTATGAAACTTAGTAATATTAAATATAAATCAGTAATTATTAAAAAATTTTGGGTTATAATATTATTGAAAAAATAATTCATTGAAAATACAATTAATTTATATATTAAATTATCTAAGCGTGAATTTACTCTCATTTAATCATTAAACTTACATTCAGTATAAACAACTACATTAACATTTTCGTACAAATGATCATCATAAGATTTAGCAGTCATGTTATCAGTTTTTAAATTCAACATAACCCTTAATTGAGCAACAATATCACTAAAATTAGGTCTATGATGATAATCATTTAGCCAGCACCGGGTCATAATACTATACACAGACTCTGGGCAATAGTGCGGACGACGCAACCTATGACCCTCGTGCAAATACTTTAAAATATCACAATTTTCAATAACCGAATAAGGCATTTCACCACGGGTAAACAGCTCCCATACCAATACACCATATGACCAGACATCTGTCTTGGTACTATATAGACCTTTTTGTAGGCTTTCCGGTGCCATCCATTTCACTGGGAGTTTGCATTTGGTATTATCGCTGTTATAATAACCGGTTTCGTATAAATCGCGTATTAGTCCGAAATCACCTATTTTTACGCATAGTGCACCATCAAGCATACAGTTCCTTGCTAACAAATTACGATGCACATATCGTTGCAGTGATATGTACTCCATTCCTAGTTAAGTTATTAATTATAATTATCGGTAATACTAATTTTAAATTATTTATACAAACCCTCTGCAATGTCCAAGGCAAATTTCAATAATGTTTCAACAGTTAATTGATTATTTTCACTACACAGGTATGTCAATAAATCGCCATTTTCCATAAATAGCATCAAAATACTAGGCATCCCTTTGCCATCAAAGGAAACGCCTATTAGTTGCAACACATTTTTGTCGTCAAAGTCCTTTATTATATTGATTTCATGTAGTAATGCCTCAACGTTAGTGTTATCTCCATTAAAAGCTACAAAATAATTTGTTTATTAAATTTCGATTATATTTTACTATCATATTGGTACTTACTTTTTAATACAATGTTTTTATAATTGTCTCTATCAATGGAATTAGAACGTAACTTAGCTTTGTACATTTTCCCAAATTCCCCGTGACCAATCTCATCTAATATTGTAATATCGGAAAATTCATAAAGAACCTTGGACAAATCTGCCATAAGTTCTGGTGGTAATCGATAATTTTGGTTCGGACTTGACTCGTTAGATAGCATTGGAATGCATTCAACTAGATCCATTTAAGAGATTTAAGATCCAATATAAAGTTTTAAAATATATTAGGTTAATTAGTTTAATTTTTAAAATACCATGCTCCACATGAGGATCATCTGGGTTGCTAATATACGTCCCAAAATCATCATGATTTTTAGATTTATTTTGTATTACTCGATAAATAACATAGAACATAACGAGTAATATAATTCCGATTATAATAGATACGCAAGTTATAATAATAATCCAGGTGACATTAACTAGATTTTCTTCATTAACATTGCTGGCTGTTATTGTTATATTAGGATTAAGTGTGTTATTATATACGGTAGAAATATTTTCTATTTTATCAAGTTCTTTGTCATATAAATTATCGTCGGTAACATTTATATTAGCATCTAGCGTAGTAATATTAGTAATAAATGTCAAAGGTTCGTATTTCTGAGTAAGGTTCATTGTAATTGATTCAGTGACATTATTGAAATTTATCGTTGACATTTGAAGTTTATTATATAAAATTTAGTATTATAAAATAAAGTATTAGTTTTATAAATACGACTTATAATTGACAGTACACGTATTTTATAATTTAACGATACAATTTACTGTATATATTAAATAGCTGACAACTTACAGTATACTGAATTACGTGTACAAACAAGGTTAGCAAATAATGTTGATTACCTGGACTACTAATTCTCTATTTCCTGTCTATTATCAAAATGTAGTATAAATACAGTATATATTATTATGACACATTATAGTTTATCACTATTATTTCAACGTTATCATTTTTCCGTTCAAGTAATGTTGGTTAATTTATTAATCACCATAGTTCACAGGAAATAGTGTTAATTATTAAAAACAATTATATAAATATACAGTTTTATTGTTTACTGAACACCACCATTTAGAATTTATAAAACATAATATCTATATTATACCTATGTTACCATTGGTAATAATCTACGATGCACATTCGTATTAATCCGGGCCACACTAACAGTTACAGTTCAGTTAAAATATTGTACATATTACTAAATTTGCTACAACACTAGTTTTTAGTGTCTGATTATAAACGTAAGAGTCATGTAAAATGAATTATAAATTAAAGTGTAAATAATATTCTAAAATAATTTATTAGTCAATCATAAATACAAAATTTGTTTTAATTTACAGAAAATAATACAAAA